TATGTGTTATTCATGAAGTTCCTTAAATTGTTGTACATCTTGAAGGTAATTATATACCCAGCAAGATTGCCATAATCCTTACAATACATGCATTCACAATTCTGGAAATTGCAATACAGAACCAATATCAATAAAGTCCACCACAAAGATTTAGGTTTAGGTCAATATTTTAACCTTTATGTGTAACAACTTGCTTGGGTCTGCTGGGCAGTGTCTGAAGAGTTTCAGAATCCTCAGGCTGAAAATGAGATCTTTAATGTAGAGAGGCAAAAACCAAACCCAGCACTTTGATGTTATTGGCAGAAGAAAATTTAAACAGGAAACATAATTATAGTGCTTTTTACTTAAAAGGGTATATTAAGCTGTAAATTAAGCTTCCTCCAACTAGTAGAACAATTAGGTTCTCTCTGTAAGAAACAGCATCATGCTTTGCATTACGAAAAACCCAAGGTGATCAAATTTGTAGATTCTTTACAATCTGCAAGTGTGAGATTAAGCTGGCCATACACGGTTAGTTTTTTTTTTTTCATGCAGGCAGTGGGCTGAAATAAAAAAATGAACAGATTGATCCATCCACATAAACAAGATGGATGGAGGAATCCCCCTCCCTCCCTGGCCTGTGTCAGAATACACTGATCAGCAGCTGCCACTGATTGATTGTAGCCACTGACTAAAGAAAATTTTCCAATGTTTCCCTTCGACAGAAGTTTTTCAAATGGTCAACGTCCTTTGAGCAGGAACACCACATACTGATTCCAGCCTTGCTTCCCATTTTTAGGAATTTGTGTGCCTTTTTCATGCAGGGCACAGCAACAAGTCAAATTTAAAGCAAATGCAGCACTTACGCACTTTGCTTCACCTCCTCAAATGCTACATAAAGATGGTGGGTACAAATTACAGTATATATATGGTACATCTGGATATGAATATACAAAAGTAAAACAAAGATAGGCGCTGGCCCTTTAAACTGTGAAACATAAATAGTGACTTAATTAAAAGTGAGACACATATAAAATAAATAAATATACATAAACATGATAGGTGCTGTGATGGAGGTGTAGGTGAGACAGAACACACGCGGAGAGCAGTGGGCACACAAGGTTTTTATTGAGGGATTTGGGGCACTTGATCGGTGCAGCAAGGGTTAAGTCCGGGGCACACAGCAGAGGGACAGTTCAGGCAGGTAATGGGTAAAGTCCAGGCTACAACCGGGCAGTTCAGACAGACAATGGGTAAGTCCGGGCACACAGCAGAAGAGCAGGCTGGCAGACAATGGGCAATCCGGGCACACAGCAGAGGGGCAGTTCAGGCAAAGATAATCTGAGCACACAGCAGAAGGGCAGTTCAGGCAGGCAGTGGGCAAAGTCCAGGCTATAACAGGGCAGTTCAGACAGACAATGGGTAAGTCCGGGCACACAGCAGAAGGGCAGTTCAGGCAAAGATAATCTGAGCACACAGCAGAAGGGCAGTTCAGGCAGGCAGTGGGCAAAGTCCAGGCTACAATAGGGCAGTTCAGACAGACAATGGGTAAGTCCGGGCAAATAGCAGAAGGGCAGTTCAGGCAAAGATAATCTGAGCACACAGCAGAAGGGCAGTTCAGGCAGGCAGTGGGCAAAGTCCAGGCTACAACAGGGCAGTTCAGACAGACAATGGGTAAGTGGGCAAATAGCAGAAAGGCAGGCTGGCAGGCAAAGATAATCTGGGCACACAGCAGAGGGGCAGTTCTGGCAGGTAATGGGTGTAGTCCAGGCTACAACAGGGCAGTTCAGGCAAAGATAATGTGGGCACAGCAGAAGGGCAGGCTGGCAGACAATGGGCAATCCGGGCACACATCAGAGGGGCAGTTCAGGCAAAGATAATCCAACACACAGCAGAAGGTAGCTCTGGCAGGCAGGAGGTCCGGGCACTCAGCAGAAGGCAGCTCTGGCAGACAGGGTAATCAGGGCACACAGCAGAAGGCAGCTCTGGCAGGCAGGGTAATCAGGGCACACAGCAGAATGCAGCTCTGGCAGGCAGGGTAATCAGGGCACACAGCCGAAGGTAGCTCTGGCAGGCAGGAGGTTCGGGCACTCAGCAGAAGGCAGCTCTGGCAGGCAGGGTAATCAGGGCACACAGCAGAAGGTAGCTCTGGCAGGCAGGAGGTTCGGGCACTCAGCAGAAGGCAGCTCTGGCAGGCAGGGTAATCAGGGCACACAGCAGAAAGTAGCTCTGGCAGGCAGGAGGTCTGGGCACTCAGCAGAGGGCAGTTCACAGGGTAGCAATCCAGGGACTCACCAGCCAGCAGTGGCCTCAGCAGAGGAAGTCTAGGCAGATAGGCACCAACTCCTCACAGGTCTTCAGAGGGCTGTGTGTCTTGGCCGCAGCTTCAAGACTACACAGGCAATAGAGGACCACAAGTCCCAGCAGTGCGCAAAGCACAGTTCAATGCATCTCGAAGTTAGGTCTCTGTCCATCCTGACTCAAGCTCTCCCATTCTAAGAGTCTTTCTTCCCACATAGGGACAGTATATGGCCCTTTCAATTGACTGAGCCCCAAGTTCCCAGTGCCGACACGTCTGGCTTTTCACAGCCATAAGACACCATGCTGTCTGCGCTCCCTACTGGGATAACTCTCACCTCCCACCCCCTGCAGGGCACAGGAACTTCATATTATAAACAAAGCAGACAAGCTGACAGTTGGCCACACGTGTTAACAAAACAACACAAAAATAAAATAATATTTCTGCTGTCTGTCACAGGTGCAAGTAAAGAATGTCCAAAAGTGCAACTAAATATTGCCAATCACTGTCTGAATCACTATATTCAGTGACATTAATCTTCTTTAAGTGCCACAAAGGTACTCCACACGTGCAAATGTATTCCGCACTCACCAGACCAATGCGGCCAGCAAAGTAGCCTGCAAGCGTTCAAAACACTAAATCCAGACCTTGAAGAGCCTTAGACCAATATCCTACTTAGAATCGGCTAATGGTACTCATCCATCAGAGATATACGAAAAAAACCAGAAGGAAGTATATAGTGTAGTATATTTTACTGAACACCAATATATTCAAAGACGTATGCTGTATGCACTCACATAAAATAGTGTCAAAGAAGGTGCCCAAATAAACAGCTCACTTTGCACATCCCGCACTGTCGCTTGTTTCACAGAGCTAGTGAGTAATCCACGGACCCACAAGTGACATAGGGACTCGATCCAGAAATGACCTCAGCGGCTCAAGCCTCAACGCATCATCAGGAAGCTTATTTGGCTGCCTTCTTTGGCACTGTTTTATGTGAGTGCAGCATATGTCTTTTTTATATATTGGTGCTCAGTAAAATATACTACACAGGAAGAGGTACATTGCCTGAACTATTGCCTTTCTCTGAAAAGACTCTCAGTATGCTACAGAACACCAAAACATCCGTGAAAGATAGCCAGATATCTCTTTGCTCTCCCCCTCTTGGAGTGACAACTGTCTGTCTGATATTTTATCATGAAGGCCACATGTGACACCAATGTACATATTTAACCACTTACCTACCTGGCAATTTTACCCCCTTCGTGCCCAGGCAATTTTCAGCTTTCATTGCTGTCACATTTTGAATGACAATTGCGCGGTCATACAACATTGTACCCATATGACATTTGTATCATTTTTTCACACATATAGAGCAAAAAATTGGGAAAAAAAGTTTCTCTGTGTTTCTATTATAACATTTTGCAAACAGGTAAATTTTCTCCTTCACTGATGTGCGTTGATGAGGCTGCACTGATAGGCAGCACTGATGGGCACTGATAGGCAGCACTGATGGGCACTGAGAGGCTGCACTGATGAGATGGCACTGATGAGGCAGCACTGGTGGGCATTGATGAGGAGGCACTGATGCTGCATTGATATGCAGGAAAGATGAGTACTGATGGGCACTGATAGGTGGCACTGATGGGCACTGAAAGGCTGCAGTGATGGGCGGCACTGACTGGTGGCATTGACTGACAGAACTGACTGGCAGCACTGCTAGGCACTGATAAGCGGCACTGCTGGGCACAACTGCTGGGTGGCACTGCTGGGCAGCACTGATGGGTGGCACTTCTGAGCACTGATGGGTGGCACTGCTGGACACTGCTGAATGGCACTGCTGGGCACTGGGGTGTGGCACTGGTATGTGGCACTGATCATCAGTGCCCTGATGATCGGTGAAGATGTCTTCTGTGTCATTATCGGTATTACTTTTCTCACACTGTGACAGTGTGAGGAAAGTGCTGCCAATAACTAGCAACTGTATTTACTCCATGATCTGCTGTGTCATTGGACATAGCTGATCAAGTGACTGATCAAGAGGGTGAGTTCTGAGAGGATGTCATATGATGCCCTCCCTGAACTTGACAACGACGCTGTAGCTGTCATCCGGCTATAGTGTGGTTGACAAGTGGTTAAAGTACCATTACTTCTTAATGGCAAATTGCACAGAGCTGTTAACTAGTTGCCGACCGCAGATAGCCGAATGACAGCTACACTGCGGCCAGCCAGTTCTGGGAGGGTGTCATATGACACCCTCCCAGAACCTGCTCTCCTTCGCGCCCCCGGGGGGCGCGCACACGGCGATCTCCGTGATGTGGTAAAAGGCCGATCACAGCAGCCTTTTACCACGTGATCAGCCGTGTCCAATGACACGCTGATCACAGGGAAATGCAATTGCCGGTTCTTGGCTGCACTTTCCTCACGCTGTCAGAACGTCAGGAAAGTACTGCCGAGAACCGGCAGTTGTCAGAGCAAGGATCGGCACCGATCAGTGCCCTGATGATTGGTGCCCAGCAGTGCCACCCACCAGTTCCGCCTACTTGTGCCCAGCAGTGCAACCACCTGTGCCCAGCAGTGCAACCACCTGTGCCCCTGTGCCCACCAGCGCCACCCAGCAGTGGCACACACCTGTGCCCAGCAGTGCCCACCAGTGCCACCCAGAAGTGCCACCTACCTGTGCCCAGCAGTGCAACCCACCTGTGCCCACCAGTGCCACCCAATAGTGCCCATCAGTGCAGCCCAGCAGTGCTGCCAGTCAGTGCCACCAGTCAGTGCCCAGCAGTTGCGCCAGTCAATGCCTAACAGTGCCACCAGTCAATACCTAGCAGTGTCGCCAGTCAGTGCCCAGCAGTGATGCCAGTCAGTGTCACCTATCAGTGCTGTCTATCAGTACCCATCATCTGTGCCACCTATCAGTGCCGCCTATCCGTGCCACCTCACTAGTGCTGCCTATCAGTGCCGCCTATCAATGCCCTTCAGTGCTGCCTATCAGTGCCCATCAGTGCTGCCTATCAGTGCTGCCTATCAGTGCCCATCAGTGCTGCCTCATCAATGCACATCAGTGAAGGAGAAAAATTACCTGTTTGCAAAAATTTTATAATAGAAACAAAGAAACTTTTTTTTTCAATTTTTTTGCAGTTTTTTTGTTTATAGCGCAAAAAGTAAAACACCCAGCGGCGAGTAAATACCACCAAAAGAAAGCTCTATTTATGAGAAATATACCGGGCACTTATACCTACCGGGTATAAGTGCCCGGTAGGCAAGTGGTTAATATTCACAAAACATGCATCTTCCGTCAATGTAGGCTTTTTTTTTTCTGTAACGTATGCTGTTATTGGCTTCTAATTTCTAGAACACAAATTGTTGAATTCTGTTTATAAGGATTGCCAAGGAAGCAGTTAGTCATTGGGGTTTATTTACTAAAGCTGGAAAATGCTAAATCAGGTTCACTTCTGCATAGCTTTTTCTGCTGTAGACAGGCTGATATCCACGTTTATAAAATATATCTTTGAACAGGGAGGAAGCAACAAGTTATGGACATCACTAATGAAATAATGAAATAAAAACTTTTCAGTGTGGGTGGCAATAAATTATAGTATATGTTATACCACAGCCACCAATGCTCAGAATACCAAAACATTTCTGCCTTATGAAGGTAGCTGTAAATCCTTGAGCCATGTGGGGTGTGGGAATTTAACACCCAGAACATCTTGTAAATTTGATTTGCAGCTAATATAGGATGATTTAGGATTTGCTGAGTAATTTATGAAGTGAAGAATGAAAAGTTTTTACAAGCATACTGTAGATTAAAGGTACTTCATGAAAGCCCTCCAACCAGGTGGATAAAAGTTGTAAAAAGTGCATAGTAGTGTCCTCGCATGGATTCATTTTTATTACAGCATAAACAGCTCATTTGGTAAATGCTGTACAATGCATGTCATCTATGGTAAGGAACTAGACAGATGCAATTCTATTTCTACATATATATTTACAGTACAGTTTAAGAAATGCAGGTGAGAATAACATGAGGTGAACATTTACTTTTAAACATTTAAACTTGTAGAGCCCCTTCACACCCATCCTCTTTGGTGCATTGCGTCGACACACAAACGTTATCATGGGTTGAGCTAAGACAGTACATTTATTTGAACATAGATTTTTTTTTCCCTGAAATATTTCTCAGCCACAGTTTAAATATGAAAAATTAACAACAATAACATGCCCCAATATTAATATAATCACATTAACAACACAAAATTATCAAACTAAATGAATGTAGCTTGTTAGGATTGGAGACCATGCTGAACTGATTGATCGGTCACTGGTCATGAGTGGATGATAGTGTGGCGAGTAGGAAGAACTCTCTTCCAATGGGTTTCACCCAATTTAACCACTTTCTGGCTGGCTCATGTACATAGCTTTACTGCTACATGGCAGACACATGCATACGTGATTTTCCTTCTTCGGGTAGGGGGTGTGCACACTCACCTACCTGCGCTATCATTGGCTCCCTTACATGTCAATCACTGGGTCCCAGTGTCATGTACCTGATAGAAGCCTGAATTAACGAGGTCAGCCTCTCTTGTATCTCCAACCCAGGCCCCACTGAAGGTGGAACAGATGGTGCCGAGGGACAGGAGAAACACGAATGCCTGTGGGTATTGATTGTAGAACTTGCGGCTGGTGGTGTAGCCTCGGTGAATCAAGCAGGGCATCCAGTCAGGAACAGAGGAGATGCCACAATGGCCAGCTGAGGTTAAGGAGGCATTCCACTGGAACTGCAAGATCTGGGTACGTGGCTTACCGGAACGTCTGATAAGCGTGAGGCCGAAACACACCTTGACAACCGGAGCAGATATAATGGATAGCCAGGACAAGCACTCGTCAGGACTGTACAGCCAAACTGGAGCCGGAAGAGTAGTCAGAGTAATAGCCAGGGTCAGCAATGAGTAGGCAATGAGGTACCAGAACATCAAACAGGGACAAGGTCAGGAGGAAGCCAGGATCTGAAACCAATGAGCAGAAGCATAAACAGAATCCAAGAGCAGCTCAATGGCAAGCCGGGATGGTAACAGATACAGCAGGACACAGGGAATTAGCTGAAGACCAGTCAGCACTGACAAAGAGTAAGAGCCTTCTTTAAATAGTCTGCCTGGCACCAGAAACTGTGGGCACACTCCCACGTGCGTGCTCCCGTGTGCGCGCATTCTTGAACGCATGCGTTCATTTCTATCAGCAATGCACCCGTGCTCATTTCTATGTGCAATATTGCGTGTATGCGCATTTCTATGTGCCAGTCGCCATAGAGGAATTCCCTTACACCCAGCCAGCGATTCATGGCCAGGACACAGCGATCAATGGAGCTAGTGACAGGAGAGAGATCTGTGTACGTAAACAACAGGGGGCTGTTGGGGACACGAAGCAGGGAATAAAAACCAGCACATTCCCTAGTAAAACACCACACAGTACACAAAAATAACATGCCCTTGTACACAGTTAACCCTTTGATTACCCCAGATGTTAACCCCTTCCTGCCTAGCGTCATTAGTACAGTGAAAGTGCTTTTTATTAGTATCAGTGTCACTGTATTAGTATTAGTATACTGTATTACTGTCACTGGAGATGTCAGTGGCAGCTAGTTTTCACCCAGTGTCAGAATGCCTGCCATACTATCACAGTCCTGCTATAAGTCACTGATATCCGGCATCACTAGTATTAAAAAAAAAATCAAGTATTTATACCATTGTTTGCAGACACTATAATTTTCATACAAACCAATTAATATACACTTAGTGGGGTTTTTTTTTTTTTACCAAAGACATGTAGCAGAGTACATTTTGGCCTAAATTAATGAAGATTTTTTTTAATTGGATATGTTTTATAGCAAAAAGTAAAAATTATTGTTTTGGGTTTTTTTTTTTGTTTTTGGGGGGGTTCGGTCTTTTTTCGGTTGAGGTGGGTTAAGGGTGGTGGTAGTGAGCCCTCTTAGGGCTTGGGCTGCTTCCTTCAGGTCTTGCCTTAGGGCCATTCTGCATGTGACTTGAAAAGGTGAGTGAATATGTGAGAAGGTTGGAAGATGCTTTAGAAGGCAGGGCATGTAGCTAATCTCCCTGGTCCGGTGACGGATGAGGATTGCAAATGATGATAAGCACCAAATTCAAGCAAATATTTATTGAAAAAACCAAGTACATCGAGCCAATGTGTTTCAGCCCTTCCTCAGGGCTATCAAATAAACACAAAGGTGTACAAAAACAGATATACTGGAAAATAAATATATGGAAATGGTAAAATGGCAGCTAAAAACGTCATATATATAATTATGTAAAATGTATTATGTAAAATTAACGCATATAAAATATATAAAAAATTGGTTGGTACTAACGATTGTTAATACAAAACAATGATACAAATGAGAATCAAAATACAAGTCAAAATACAGATTAAAAATAAAATTGAAATAGAAATGAAATTAAAATATGCTTAAAATATCATATAAGCATCATGAGATGATAAAACGACAGGGGATATTTATGGTCATCTATACACCTTTTCTAAATCTCCCCATCATTTTATTATATCATGACATTTAAAGGTGTTTTGGCAATATTACATTATTTGGGCTTTCTTTTCTCTGATATTGAGTGTGTTCATCGGAAAGGAGGAGGATTTGGCTTTCTTTTCTCTGATATTGAGTGTGTTTTATATTTGTTCATCGAAAGGAGGAGGATGGTGGATGATCTAACTGGTGACATACAAGTGGTGCATAGTATAAAAGCATAGTTTACCTATCATGAGAATACGAGGCATTATAATTTGGTGAGTGGGTGCCACTGAAGCATGTGGTGGGATGTGAAAGAGGCTTACCAATCCTTAGATGTGGTAACTGCATTAGTTTTCTTTTTTTAGGCTTTTTTTCCCCTCTATTTTCACCTGGTGATCTGGCCACTAGCACACCTCATGCATAATACAGACTCCACTCTGGATGAATGAGCACAGAGGGCAGATTTGGACAGCAGCATTCTCAATCTGGGGGGAGAGGAGTGATGGATGCACTAGCAGATTTTGAAAAAGTAACAAATTGAAGATCAACTCCAACTAATACTTTATGATCAGTTACAGTAAATATGTTCTTTTCTTTTGAGATAATGGTTTTACATATATAAATAAAAGCTAATCATTTTAAGCACTCCTGCCAGTGTAAAATGGACTGTCTCATTCCTGTAACTGCATGAGGTTTCTGTTGAAAAACAGCAGACTTACTGTCTGGATCGCTAGATGTAAATAGAAGAAAGAAAGCATAAAAAGGAAACCAATATAGCCATGGCAGCTACGAATTGGTAAGCAGCAATATAATAAATTTTTGCTTTTGGGTTTAAAACCACTTTAATGTTTTTGCCATTAGTATATTTTAATTCCAACTCCCAATTCTTAGTCAAAGAAGACAATACAGGATCTATTAAAACTTTTTTTTTTTTTGCTCACAGTGCCAAGGTGGGTGAAGTCTTTTTTTTGGTTCTGCAAGGACTTGGGACTTTTCATCATAGATACCTGTGACGGTTTCTTTTTTATGCACCCTTGTGCCATATACTGTAGTCTTCCTGTCCACAGTTAAATCAGTGTTTTCATTTTTATTTTTCTTGGTTCACACATTGTTCACATCTTTGCATATATCTGCTTTGATCACTATTATCTAACAACCTTGCTGGAGTATCTTCACACTTTCTTACAGCACCTGCCTGCATTAGAGATTGCACATTTTGTGCTGGAGCAGCAACCTGCAGTAAATTCCATGAGTGAAACAGGAGTAGTGCTGTCATAATCTTTGGCCTCCACAATTTTTTGTCCCTGTGGGACATCTTTTTCAAGGGTCTAACCATGCTCTCCAATCAGATGTTCCTTTTTTCTACTCTGGCTTCTTTAGTGACTTTCTCTAGAAAGTTTTGGTTTGATATCCCTTCAAAAGTCTCTCTTTTTTTTATCCCTCTTATGATGAGTGAGGAAATATTCCTTAACCCCTTGAGAACTTGGAATATTTTATCCCCTTCATTACCAGGCCATTTTTTTCTATACCACACTGTGCTACTTTAACTGGTAATTGCGTGCAACACTGTACCCAAACTAAATTTATATAATTTTTTTCACACAAATAAAGC